TTATTATTATTATTATTATTATTATTATTATTATTATTATTATTATTATTATTATTATTATTATTATTATTATTATCCATTATTCTTTATCTTGACCTATGTCACTGATGATTGCATTTAGTAAGGGCATGTTACCAGCCCTGGTTAAACTTGCTACCAATGATAGTGTGGATAAAATATTATTTAATCCAAACTAGGGACTTATTTTACTGATCCAGAAGATGAAGGCATTGAGACAGGTATTAGAGGTTTCAGATCAACCAAAGAGGCAAATAATTTTTAAAAACTTTCAACCACTGGCTTTGTTGAAGTGTTTATTTCAACCGTTTGCAACATTATTTAATAGTTCCATGTGTTTTTCCTAAAACTAAAGATTATGACTCAATTCAGCCCAAGGTTGTAGTTCAAACTATTTTAGAGGGTACTAGGTTGCCTATTCTTAGTTTTGTTCTCACATACGTTGAACCATAATCTTTAAAGCAACCAAATAAGGTGCAATATGATTTCAATATTATAGCAGTATGCCTGAGAAGAGATGAACCGAATAAACGGAGTTTTCACTGATACGTGATTTCACCAGTAGTGAAATCTGTTCACATCTTTATCCACCCTAACACTTATACCAGTTTGCTGTTCCCAAATGGATCACACTAGTTCTTCTTTGTCTCCGATTTGAGGAATTTACTTTTTTTGGATGAAGCTGTTTTACACTATAGCACTAAATATCACTTAGTGTTGAAGTAGAGAATGGAAAAGAACAATGTGAAGAATGCAGCCAGAACCATTTTGAATCTACCATTTGAAGACCTCTGAATTGGCAAGTTAAATGTGAATTGTGACTAAAGTTTCATGCTTTGAGCTTACTCCAGCCTTGACTTTTTGCCCTACTTCTGATAAATGGTCATATAATTTGGACTTTATCACTGATAAGTTTGAAGCAGCAATAAATGTATTTAAGGAATCACTTTAGTATACTTATTTGACCTGGAGGAAATCTCTATTTAAATATAAACCATTGTGTAAACTTTACCAAGAATTCTTCATGATGGTAGAAACTTCATGATGGTATCTGATACATTTTCTTTATGAAGAAATGAGTAACAGTGCCCATTTTTTCAAGATATTTCTTAGTGATAGAGGTAATATATTTCCTGTTTTTTTTTTTAAAAAAAGGTAGGGGAACCTGTGAAGTCCCTTTGTGTGAGAAGGACAATCCAGTTTTTTTTTATTTCTGCACTGAATCTACACACTGGTGGCCCACTTCCCTAACAGGAGGTTACTATTGTATTTTTACAGTGAAATATCTGGATAATGACAAGCAAAACAATTCTCTTACACTCTCTTGCCAGTTGACCAGGGAATAAAGATATTAAGGCATAGGGGATATGGGATCCAGAATGCCAAGAAAGCTTAGAAGCAGATGAGGAGGAAGTATGATTAACATTTTTATTTATTTATATTTTAGTTATCTGAGCAGTTTGTTTATGCAAAATGGAACTTTTATAAAACAGCAACAGTAACAACTAGGTAGGGTATCAAATATGTTTGCAATTTGTTTTCATTTATGAAGTCTCAATATGTTTATGAAAATTGCCCCTGATAAAAGGTTGCTCCTAGGCTGAAAAAATGTGTCCAGGTTTTTCTCACCTGGAATGAAAAAGGATCAAATTGCAAGACAAATACATGAAAGAAGAGATAAGGGGGGGGGGGGGANAGGATCAAATTGCAAGACAAATACATGAAAGAAGAGATAAGGGGGGGGGGGGGGAAGGAAAGGGAAGCCTGAGAATCTCAAATGTGAATAAAACTGAGCTCTTCAAATAGAGGCAAGAAGATAGAAGAAAAAAGACCATGTATGAATTGGTGTATAGACATAGTGGAAACAAGGATGGCTTACAAGACTAAGATATTGAAAGGTGTTGAAACTATTGTGGCTATAAACTAGATTGAAATACATTTCTCTACTTATTTGTCTCACCACCTGGCATAAATGCCACAAGATTAATTACATGGGAAGCTGAAGGGCATTGTCTAAAACAGAGTTACACAAAGTGCTCAATATTACCCCCAAGGATAAATGGGAGTATCCATCCTTCCTCTTCCCTCTTCCCTCCTCCTCCTCCTCCTCCTTCTTCTTCCTATTAGGTAATAGTATTTAATAATTATTTTCATAATAAATATTTTTGGGTCGATGAACAACATGAAACTTCATGAAGGGGGTCAATAAGCTAGTGAGTTTGGGGATTCACTTCTTTAAAATACTGTAAAATACAGGCAGTTCAAAGTGATAATATTAATTGCAAATCAAATGGATATATATTTATAAAGCACTTATAAAGTTTTTGGAAAGACGGACAGTGATGCTTTCATTAGTTTTTTTTTCTTCCTTAACTGGATCCTAGCATGAGAACCTAAAAAAATTAATATTTATATTACTAAAATATTATTTAAAGTGTTTATTTTTTGTAGTAAGCAAAAAAAAGTAAGAATAGCTTAAAATAGTCTGGGATGCAAGGCTGTCATTTTCTAAGTGGGCTTATCTCAGTGATAACAGTTAATTGAACAAATTGACATTTTAAAAGGGTCATGGACTTTTAAAAAATCAATCTTAAAAATGCAACAGGGAAGGACTGGATGGTGTGGTAAACAGGGATGAAAATCAAGACATCAGATCCACAACCAATTTAGATTTGCCTACATATATTGAAAAAACATCACTTAATATGATGACATGTTCAAGGGATTAAAAATGATTTCAAACAGCTTTAGGAATTAAAGGCAGGTGCCCTTCAGAAATGAGCTTGAGTGCAACCAGCTGAATACTGTACAATCATTTGAAGGATAATAATTTGGGGGGAAGTGCTATTCTTGCACACTCACACTGTTGCTGTATGTTTCAGCTTTCTTCGGTTCAGATGGATGCCCAGTTCACAATGGCTTTCCTGGCACAAGATGGAAAGTCATATTCTCAGCCTGAAGCTAATCCCAGGTCAAACTTCTGAACGAATTTCTTGGGGATTTTTCAGTAGAATTTCTGGGCAGGGCCTGAAACGAAAAATGAAACATCCATCTTTTCAACTGCAAAACTATGTCAAATGAATAGCTCAGCTGGTGCATGCCAGTTTCAAACATCCAGATATGTCACAGAGGAAACGAAGAAAATAAAGAAGTGAAACTCCAGTTATTAAAAAAATTAATGGGTAAAAAGAGAAGTAAAACATGGAAGATCCTGCATCCACCCATCCAGTCCCCAACGAATGCTATATTCCATTTAACGATAGTCTGGGTTAGTTAGGGAGGTATAATCAGCAAGGCAATGGGGAGGGAGATGTTTAAAACAATGATAGAATCAGGGCTGGATGGGACATTGGAGATCTAGTCCAGTCCCAAGTCCCGGGCAGGAGTCCTTATTAAAAATGGAGATGCATGTGTGCCTGTATGACTCAGCCCAGATTTGGAGGTGATGGTAACGGTAGAGTTTCCATTCAATGGAGGTCCACAAACTCTTCCATTCAGAATATAATAAAAGTTGATTAATGTTCTTAAGCAGCAATAGAGTCTGGCATTTTTCGCAATCACGAAACAGCATATAAGAAAACTCCTAGTTCTTATGGCTGGGAAAGACATAGCCTATACCCAGAGAAAATTCAGAATGTGGGATGGACAACCTACAGTGGCAGACTGGGATTGCATGGATTATGCAATCCAGAAATATTGAACCAATGTCCTTGTGCAAGATCAGAAAAAAAAGGAGAATGCAGGCCCGATTAGCACTTCGATGGGAGACCACAAGGAAATTTTGGGCGGTTTTTTTTTTTTAACAAGCTCTGCAAAGCAAGCAACATAGTGGGGCTAGGAGAACCGCCCAGCGATGCCTATGAAGTCAGCAGGAAAGGACTGTGGAGAACTGACTTCGGAAACTGCAAAACGTTCTGCGTGTCTCTTATTTCTAAATCGCGCGCGTGTGAACGTGGGTCACTATTAGCCGCAAAATTTGTTTTTAATGTATTTCTGAACGAGAAGCCCGGCTTCCCTGCAAAGGGCTGAAGGTCTCCCCAAGTTGCTTCCCCCTCCCTGGGCCGCAACGCCCCCGCCCGCTCCGTCAGAGCGTCTCGCTCGTGCACAAAAGAGGGGAGGGGTGACTAGTAGCCTTTGGTTCCTTTCTCCTGCGGCTCCGCCCCTCGCTTTCCCTCTAACTCCCAGCTCGCGCGCGCGCGCGCGCGTGTGTATGTGTGTGCGTTCTGCAGTGACTTCGCAAGCGTGCGCCTTGCCTGTCGAGCGTGCTTGCTGCAAGCGGGCGGATCTTTAATATTAGAACAGGCTGTCTTTTTTTTTTTTAATAAAGCGGGTGGGAGATAATAACTAAAAAAGATTCTTCCGTGATTTATTTTATTTTTTATTTTAAACGGGCGTCTTGCGATGCTTTGCATACGAAGCTGCAACGCGGCTATAATGAATGAACGGGATTCTTTGATCGCGCGGCGACACCTGTAAGGGGAGAGGGTAGGGAAAGCGTAGGCGAAGGTGTGGTGCAGACAGGATCTGAGATCTTTGCTGCAGAAAGACGCTCCTGGTACCAGACGGGCACCTATATAAAACATTTTTTTTTAAAAAAAATCCAGCCTGCATGACCGTCACGAAGGTAGGAAACCGTTGCAAAAAAAAGAAGGAACTAAGACGTTGAAGCTGCTTTTGAATCATGTCAGAAGAATAAGCTGACATGCTTTCTTTCTTTCTTTTTATTTTGCGAGCTGTAAACAAGAGCGGGCAATTTCACATCTCTCTTATAAAGCTGAATATTCTTGGTGTACTATAATAATAATTTTAAGTCTGCTCCTGGAACTGAATGCTATTCGCGAGGTGGACAGACTGCATCGTTCTGCATCTGAAGGGCGGGGTAAAAGAAAAGCGACCAAGAAAAATCCTAGTTATTGAATTTACATATATTTGGCAGCTCGGGTCCCTGCAGTTATCACAAAAATATGGGTCTTATCTGTAGAGACTCGTAGTAGATTCCCCATCCCAGCCTTGCTAGACTTAAGAGGAACTGTATACCAGGAAGTTCTTGGGTAAGAAATGTTTCTCTTCCTGAAAAAGAAAGACCTATATTCTATTATAGTCTAGCAATTTGATCAATCAATTTAGATGCATTGATCTGTATCTGCATTCTTAACAGATCTGACAAGAACTAGAGTTTATTTTTTAACATTGTTGTGCTTGGAGATGAATAACGTTTGCTTCCAGCATCAGGAAGTAAAGAGGCTCATAGTTTGTAGAGGTCTCTTGAATTGGGTGGAGCAGGGGATTAAGTGAAGTTGGGCACTGCTGTGCTTTGCTTTTCAGACTGGTGGCTGTCCTTCGCATAGTTGCCTGTGGTGAGGTAAGATTCTCCTCCAGGTAAACAACCAGTGAAAAATCCTTTCCTATTGGAAGTGAATTCTTCTTTTTACCGAGTCTGTCACAATTTGACAAAAAGGATACTAGCTTTCATGGACATATCTTGAATATTGAAATAATGGCTTATTTTCAGAACTTTTTTAAAAAAAGGAATGATAGCTGATGGACAGTCTGGTCAGCTGCTTCAGTGGTTAGGACAACTAAATGAGATTTAATGCTGATACATTTGCCCATTTTAAATTTACTGGTTAAATATATATACACACATATTTGCAAAATTAGGTACTCAGTGTTTATTATATGGCTGGTACAGAAACTTTCTCCCATCAAGTACCTCTTAGATATGTTAGACTACAATTTGCATAATCCCAAACCAGCAAAGATATGTGGCTGGGAAGAGAATTTGTTTATTACAGTTATTATATTATTATATCCCAGCTTTCAGGATAACAGTTTTCCCAAAGTGGCTTGCAAACAGCGAAAACAATTATGAATGAAAATACAATACTACACCCCCTTCTCTTTCTCCTTCTTCCTCTTTCTTAAAAGAAGTTTTCGCTGACATACTTGAGGGAGACCAGATGAAGGCTGATCTAAATAATGGGATTTGTTGGAGGTATATAGATAAAGCTGTTGACGACTGCAGTAGAATGTGTTTATTGCTCTGCCTTTGCCCTGGGGTTTTCGTGCAGAAGGAATGTTGATGTGACTTTGTCCCTGGGTCCAAAGAAGCTACACTGAAGTGTGCAAAAGAATTGCTTTTTTAAATTGTAATGTGAATTTTGCTAAAAGAAAGACTCACATGAATGATATTTATAATTTATAGATAATGAAAAATAGTTTTGTGCTGTGAGAAGCTTTTGGGTGTCAGGTAGTTGTTGAAAGTAAGACCTTGCTTAGAGTCTGTGGAGGTGACTATTAATTGTCAGGTGTCACTTAGCAGCATTGGAAACATGTGATTTATCCGAACCTTGAAATGATGACTTGGTCCCTGTTTAGCCCAACATACTGGTTCCAGCACTGAGCACTTGTCCATGAAACTCATTAGCAAAATAAAGGCAGCAGCCATCTACTACATTTACCCTGCCACTTCCTGCAATTAACTGGAACTTCAGTAATGAATTTAAGAAATGTTAATTTCTTTCTTTGTTAAGATATACAATGTTCTCATCCCTCTTTTCCTTTACATATCCTACTTCCAGAGACTCCTGGCACAATAATAACCACTCTCAGATCGTGATACAGCAATCCAGTAAAGTCTTTGATAAATAAAGCTCAGAGGCTTATATCAAAATATTTTGTTTATGATGTTGAGTCTTCACTTCTTGAATTCCTACTGCTCGTTGGTGATTCTTGGCTGGCTGCTTTTCCAGATCCCCAAACCATCTTTTCCAAACTCCCTGCTTCTTCATCTCTTCTTTGGCCCCGTCTGTGGTCTGTGCTGCTTTTTATGGATTCTGAACAACTGTTCTGATGCAGGGCTAGAATAGCAAGGCTTCATCTTCAAGAAAAGTGGCTCAGTCACTCACTTCTACTATTATCCTTATTCTCTTTATTCTCAATATTTCTTCTCCAGAAATATTGGCCTTCAATCCCATAAACCATAATATGTTGAGGTTGGAAGACACCTTGTACAGACTTCAGTTCAGCTTATCCGCAAATGTCATCATCTGTTCAAATAGTATTTCTGGAAATTGCTCAGGATTGAACTCAGTAAACCTCAAGGGGAAGGGTGTTCCACAGTTTTCTGGAGTAGCTATAGATAATACAGTTTTGCATGGTTACTTGATGTCAGCTTAGGCAATTCCAGATGTTTTGTTTTCCCAGTTACGATAGTTGCAGATCTGGACATAAGAGAGAGAAAAGAGATCTTATTATGAGGGCTTTTACCAGATTTGTACAATGGTGGCTGTCATGTCTGTGCTAAACTTGCTAATACTTTCAGACTAGCGTAAATCAGTAATGTTTGGCTTGCTCACGATCCACATCATTGGCTGGGATAACCAGCCAGATGTTGCTCTTGCATGATTCTACCTTCCTCCAGAGATTTAGTAAAGAGGGGAAGGGGGCCAGTAGGGAGGAATCCCCTGCTATTCTCAATAATTGAAGTAGGAGAGCCCAGGGGATTTTCTAAAATCAGCTTGAATCAAGGCATGGAAGTATGGATCAAAGACTGAACTGCATCTTCACTCATGTATTTGCTAAGTTATCAGTGGCAAGCTAGATGTTATCATAGCAACAAAAGCAGTGCCATATAACACTGATTAATATCATTAAAATATTTGTATCATGTTCTTCATTTCACAGGCACAAGGCAGTCTTTAAAACATGTTTTAAAATCCTAGTGTGTTGTTTGGTTAAAAGAAAGCATCAACTATAGCAGTGGTGGTGAACCTATGGCACGGGTGTCAGAGGCGGCACTCAGAGCCCTCTCTGTCGGCACGCGCGCCGTCACCCCAGTCCTAGGCCTTCAGCTGGGTTTTATAAAACCTTTTCGCTTTAGGCCTCCGCCGCCGTGTGCAAAAAAAAAAAAAGGTTCAATCAGTCAATTTCAACTTCTCGCTGGAAAAAAAAAGATCTTGCAAAGTTGGAATTGATTGATTGAACTTTTTAGTCCCACCCAGTCTGCTGTTACCACTGCAGCCACGCCCACCCAATGGGCCAACCCAGCCAATGGGCCACACCCAGCCAATAGGCCACACCCACCCAGCACCCGCCGATGCATAAGTGGGTTTTGGGTTGCAGTTTGGGCACTTGGTCTCTAAAAGGTTCGCCATCACTGAACTATAGCAATTAAAGGCAGCAAACACATCAAATATTCAGCACACATCAACCAGCTTAATAAATTAGTTTCAAATGTCTAGACAAAAATCTGCTTTAAAAAAATAGAGTGTCAGCATTGATTGGGTGGCTTCTTCAGAATCTGTGCGCCACTATAGCAAAGGCACAGTCCCTTTTCATCTTTGGCCATTTGAATGGGAATTCTGCGTGTTGCAATCCCACTCATTTGGAAAGTCCTTCAAAGGTCTAATGAAACATCCTTTGGATAGTGAATTTATAAATGTTAGCAAATAGATTTATAAACTTTGATATAAAATGATTGCTTCCTCCCCATCTGGATCAGTTTGTATGTAAGTTTGATTTCATAGGTAGCTCATTTCACATGATGTTTCATATTTCAATGACCCACAAAGTGAGGGGGAATGGAATAGGTCACTGGCATCAAAAGTACCCACATGAACTGGACGAGCCATGCAGTTGAAGTGGAATGGGATTATCCTGAGTTTTAAATGTATTTTAAGTGATACCCAATGCTCCCTGTATATAGAGACTGTAGTATGCTTAACATTCAGGTAAAGTACGGAATCATATTTAAAATATAAACAAGAATCTGATCATTTAAAACCAGTTCAGAGATAATGTGTAAAATATTATTTTGAACTCCCAAAAGTGCTGTGAGTTCTATTACTATTTTTAATTATTCATATGAATAAACATGCACTAGTACCTGGTAAAATATTGGAATAATATCCAAGAACAACTAAAAAAATTTCATAGCAAAAGTCTGCACCTGTGTATATTGGACCACCTCTTCATGCAAATATCAGTGAGTAGGTTTTGTGTGTGGATATTTCAGTCCTTCAGAAAGTGCAGTGAGGAACTTTACTATTTATTAATTAGATAGAGTGGTTTTCTTTAAAAGTTTCCATGTCTTTCTGAAGCTCAAATTATCAAGTGGTTAATTATGAAATCACACTGTGCCATCCTTTGCAAAGTGTAATTATGTTTACTAGAGAGAAACACTGAGACATAAAAAATGTGGTAAATGTTATAGAAGAGAGGATGGCCCTGTGAACTAGCAAGCTTGGAGTGTATCCAAAAATGAATTTTCAGTTGATGGATCCTGAATATTAGGAGCTGCTGTGATTTTTGAACATCTCCAACATTGGATCCTTCTAGAGAGGAACAGTAGGGACAACTTCCTGTTTGAGCAGCAGTTTTACTGAGTTCTGGTATCTTTCTGTTTTCTTGATTGTGGTTGGACTTTGGTCTTGCCTCTTGGACTTTTTTGTCTTTTGGACTGACTTTCTTTTGGAATCCTATATCATGACTTCTGATTTAATATGGACTGTCTGTAATCCAGCTGTGATTTACTGCTGGAGCAAAAAACAGAGTGGCAAAAAAGGAAAAACAAAAGGCTTGGCCCTTAGTTTTTATCTAATCTGGATGATAGCTAATTTGGAA